ATAATTACGTAGTCACAGCGACAGCTACGATGTACCTGCGGAATACAAGAGTGCCACTTCGGAAGGTATCTCCTTTTCCCTCAATCCCTCGGGTTATTCCTCAATTTTTTCCTCAACTATATTCGTGGCATTTTCAAGGATACTAGAAAAAAAGTTTCATGGAAAGAACGGTTTTCTGGAGTATCTAAAGGTCAACTCTGAATAACAAAAGGCTCGATTCATTAAAAAATTAAAATAACAAAGGATAGGGTTAACGAGCGAAAACAAGGAATCTTAAGGGGGGTCTTAACATTACAATAACAAACAAATATAAATTATTTATATTTGTTTATTATTGTAATTTATTTTAATTTCTAAAAATTTAGCTAAATACAAATCTGAAAATAATTTTGTTGGACCATCATAATTATCCAGGACATTCAAACTTATGGTTAGAACGTCGAAACTTTTTACCGTATTGCTCATCATGCGTGAGATTCCTGCGTAATTATAAATTTTCATGATTCAACGAATTTATTTTCAGATCATTTTAATCAATATTTTGATGATCTAACAAATTTAATTTTAGATCTGTATTTAACTAAATTTTTTAGATATTTCAATCGTTCATTAAATTATTTTATATCTTTCGAAGAAGTCACCTCATTTCTGGAACCGCAGTAAAAAATCGTTCACGCAAAGTTCCGAATCTCTTTCGAATTTTCTGCGCAAACGTCTTCTCGTTGCAAGAAGAAGAGAAAAGCTAGAGCTAGAGGAAGAAAGGAAGAAACCCAAGTCGAAATTTTGCTTCTACTTTGAACCTTAGTTTTAGGACGTATATAGACTAAAGATTTATAATTAGAACGTGTGTAAACTCTAGAAATTCAAAATAGGTTCTAATAAATTAAGCTCCTATGTTGAACCTGTAAACGGCAGTTATCGGAAAATTTCTTATTTTGAAGTTCAAAAGAAGTTTTCTAAATAGAAGCTGTGGATTAAATAATATTAAAAGAGGTCCTATTTGATTGTTCAAGTATCAAAACAGATTTATAAGATTTAATTGAGGTTGAAAGAGATTCACAGTACGATTAAAATTTCGAGTACTTGAGTAAGTGAGAATGGAGTGAGTTTTGTTCGCGACACCGAGTATGTACAATTCAGTAGCAACGACACGAAAAAGATCCTTATCGTGTTACATAAGGAATGAGGACTCTTTTAAAAACAAAGAACGAAGAGGCAGAAAGAAAGGAAAGGGAGAAAGAAGCCAGAAGGAGAAAAACAGGAACGTCGTGCGATCGGACTCTCTACGGGGTTTACTTTGCAGCGTATCCCGCGGCGATGCAGCCTACATGCCACGAATATAAGCGTGAGCGAGGGATACAGATATGTACGACAGGCTGAGGGGGTGGATATATATTCAACGATGGCGAATGTGGACCACAAATTGCGGTTCGAAAAGTAACTTTACGTGGACGCACAGCTTATGAATTAGAGCTAAATAAAAGCAGCCCTTCTCGTTTGGATCACGAGGCGGAAATCGGATTAGCCTTCCGGGATAATACAGCCAAGGGTATTATCGATCGCGGTTTCGTCGAGAGATGAAGCGGAGTTCGAGAGACGTGTACATTTTGTGGGGCGATTTAATTAAAAATTTGGATATGCAAATTAAGCCAAAAATCGAACAGGATGTATCGTGAGAAAAGGGATGTTTCACTATGTGAAAAGGAAATCATCGTTACTTGTATGAAATCGAATTAAACTAGATTATATGACATTATTGAATCGCAAAGTGCAATAATTATTTTAATATAATTTTTTTTTAATTTAAAAGCGTTGTGGAGTTGCAATTGTTATTATTTATAGTCCCGATAGGTAAATAGGGAAAACATTGCACAAATGGCATTATAAACTGATAATTTTACAATAATTCCATTCATGATGTGCTACAATAACAGTTTTCTCAGAATAATATTTCAAAATTATATTTGTCAAATATTAGATAAATCCAATTTGAGGGGTGTAAACATTTTTTTAAATTAATTTTCTTTCAAGAATATAATGAATGTAACTGGCAGCATATTGAAGAATCAAATCAGGACAAGTGCGATTATTCTCAAATGCTCAACAACAAATACAAACACATTTCCGAAAAATCGATTCACGTGCATGCATCTCAAAAACTGTTTGACTTAAAAGTTTTTAATTTAGCCCTACTGTGTACAGTACTTCATGTTGTAATACTTCTACATATATTATAATTTAGGAATAATTGTGCATTTTTACAAACGCAATTATACATTTATAGTACAGTTAAAATATTTTTCTCAATTATTGGAAAATTTCTTTACAAATTTAATTTGGCAAATATGCCCCACTAAAATGAAATTGAATTAAAATGTAATAGATTATAAAACATTATCGAATTGCGAGATGCAAACAACGTGAAAGGAATTTAATTTAAATTCAAAATTTAGAATCGCAGAATATTAGTTACTACATCGGAAATGTCAAATGTCAAAATCTATTTTTGATATTAAAATTTTGAGAGTATAAAATATCGATATTTGTTATTGATAATACTTTCTTTTTTTTTTTTTTTAATTTAAAGGCATTTCTCTCTTTTATTATTTTAATATCAGTTTTCAAGAGCTTTGAAAGAAGTCGCAATATTCTTGCGCGAAATCTCTATTTCTTGAAATTTCTAGAATTACATGAAAATACCCAATTACGCGTGCGTAGATCCTTAAACCGCAAAGGCACGCGATTGGATTGAATTTCGCGTTGGAACAGGGAAGCTAGCAAAATACGGGTCGTTCTCTCTCCTTTTGTTCTGCCACTGCTAGTCCAATTGTAGCATCGAAACCACGTGGATAACAATGTAGGGCAATCTCTCTTTCTCTATTTCCCTTAGTCTCTTCTTCTTTTTTTTGCTTCTCACGCGATGGCTCGACGATTTTGCTACCACGTGGTAGTGCACGGGCATTTGTTGGGGCAATTTATTTCAGCATAAAGAAGATTTGCAATCCGGCAGTCTGATCACGGAAGAATCGCCCGCCACGGGATCATGGGATCGTTATCCTCGTATACGGGAACGCGCGAAAAGGAGAGGATGGTCCTTGTGGTATAATCGAAAGTGATGGGAACCCTATGGTGAATCGTGGGAATCACGGCAACTTGGCAAATTGAATTAGAAAGTTCGCCGCACTCTCGGCCGTGCAGTGTCTCGTTTGTCTCCGGCAGTTGCAATATCGGATTAGGCACGCGAGGATCCCATGTGTACGACTACGATATATATTTTCGAGTCGCGAAGTTGGTGAGGGATAGACGTAGGTCCTATCGAGAAATTCCGTGCACAGGAAGAAGGTTAACGCAAATCACTACGGTCTATTTCCATAATATAGTTACTTTAAAAATAAAAAGTGATCAAGAAATTCATGAATAAATTTCATTGATGAATCTCTTGATAACCTTTAATTTTTAAGCAGTGTTTGCTGGTGTCTAGATGAACTTATCTAAATAATTAAAATTATCTAGATGAAATGGCTTTACTAGAATATGTATTATCTTCATTTGTGTTACCTTAGATCAAAAAGTATTATTTTTTTTCTAAATTATCTAGATAATTATCTTTTTTCAAATTATCTAAGATGAAGATCTAATTACATCTATCTAAGATCTAATTAGATCTATTTATAAAATGTAACAACATAAATTAGCATCAATTTTTATACGCAAAAATTAGAATTTTATATTAATATTATCATTTTGTAATAATATTTTTTTAATATTAATTTTATGTTTGATCTGTAGAGTAGTATTCTGAAAAAAAATTCGACAAAAAGAAATGGTTTTTAAAGACATGGACAAGAGGATTTATATTTTTAATAAGTTTTATATCGCAAATTAACTTGACACATCTCAAATATAATGGAAAGTAATATCTAAACGGAGAATTGTCTACTTATTTCTTTATCGGAAATAAATTCACGATTTTCACCTTTAAGTTGACTATACAAATCTCTCCTCTCTTAAGGTTCTTGACTATTTATCACGAACATTTAGATTGATGACGTCAGAAGCGAGAAGACATACAGGATTTACGTGATGAATCTCCGGGATTTTGATATTAAATTTAGGTTTTTAATATTAATGTTAAAAATCCCTTGGATTTCTTCTTCTGGGAACATATTATGGACACAATTTTCCACCAAGGTACTAAACATGAATGTCTTATGCTGCTATCGAATTTTGGTCGCCACAACTAACGACAAGCTACAGCCCTTGGCGTAAAATGAAATACTAGCTCGATATTTATCATGCCACTAAAAGTACTGATGTGATAACATGATGTGTCTGATAATTTTTTGCAAGAAATTTTTTTAATTATTTTTTACATATAAACATAATAAAAAAGTTAAAAAAAGGATAGTATGTTTGTTTTTACTTCTCATCACTTTAAGATAAGGGAGGACAAATCATACACCTTGTATAATAAAAATACTTATGAAATACAATGGAGTAGGAATATTTTTTAATAAAACAATACGTGCACTTGATCGAAAACACTTGTAAAATGTACCTTTTTTTTTACTTCAGAATAAAATAAAATCATATTTATTTCACTTCAATAACTATATAGGATGGACCAGGGCGAATCGCATCATTATAAGCTTTGAGACAGTTATCGTTACCTTTTTCTTTCATGCGATCTGTTTTATCATGCTAGTACTTCCGTACGCTCCTCCTGCAACGGAAACAACAGATGACGATTTTATATTGCGTGTAATTCAATATCAATCGACGATATAAGTGCAGAGGTCGCAAATGGCATGAAGAAATTTCGTCTCTCATACAAAGTCATAATTTCGATTTTGTGAGTTCATAACCAAAAAAGATATGTTGAAATATGTGAAATTATAATGATTTTTGCAATGTATAGTTTTCTTAATCAGTCTACATAGTTTAATAATATCATTAAGATGGTTTTGAGAAAATTAATGTAGTTTATGAAGTAGTTTGTTATTTGGTTAGACACAATTCGATTCCATATACCTATAGGTCTTTATTAAGATTGATTACCGGAACGCAAGGAGAGTTTTCGGTATATTTTATAAATCCATTGTATCGATTGCAAATATTATTTTATTAAAAGTATTTACATTTTAATATAATTTGCAGAAATTTTCTTTTGTATTTTCTCGCTTCTGACGTCACAATCTAAGATGCAATGAGTAGGTAAGAATCTTAAGAATCTTATTATCGATATAATTTAACAACCGGATTAAATCTGGACGAATAAAACAAATTAATTATCTAGAGATACAGTCGCTAATGCCGGCTGTATTTAAACTTTGAAGATTCATAATTAAAAAAGTTCTTATCGAAAGAGGATTTATAATAACCAATGTTTTAAAAACATCTCGACATCAGCTACAAGAATATGCAATAAAAATGGAGGTTTATATTTAAGAAATTTTAAGTGACCTTAATCTAATTTTATAAGGACATCTTAAGATCAGCCAGTTCACGATTTTTCGCTTCTAGTAACTTTTGTTAGAAACATTTTGTCTTAAACTTAAGAATTTTGAGATATTCTAGTGGGTTGATTAAAATGGATCATTTTGTATCTCTGGATTTAGCTGTTAAATTTACTTACAAAGCAGCAAGGATATATTATATTTTAAATTAGAAGAAATATTTTATTAAATGAAAAAACTTACAAGTCGATGTGTGAAATTTGAACCGTTGAAAAAAGTCTGGAATTGTAGAATATCAGCGTAAAGCGAAGGAAAAATCTTACAAGACATCTAAGTCATCGAGTGTAATAAATTATTATATAACCGGTAATTTTTCCTAATTAATTAATTCCTTAACACGTTGCTTCATCCTAAGGTCTAATCGTTCTATACAGATAGAGTATATGCACTCTGTATACGCATCGAATATGCTACGAACGATTCAACCAGCTCGTAGCTCTCTCAGATTGTGCACTTCGCTCCCAGACAACATTAGCAGGCTGATTACAATCGTCCGATTAGCCGACACGCTCATTACCTTACTGCTTTAAGCCGATTGCACGAAGAGCATGGGCGTGCGTTCTATCGTTCTCCAATGAGGTGCGCGATCAGGTAACGTGTAACATACGCGGGTCAAACGCTGGTTCCGCATCCCCGATCTTGTATATCGTACACACACTGGATCTGTGTGTACTCTACTAATTACGATATCCCGATTACATGGCTTATGAATTTACGCTCGGCCTGCGCATGATGGCCGCCGTCGAGCTTGCTTCGGGGTAGTAAAAGAGGTACCCCGGGGTTTAACACGTGAACTTTGGCAGAGCGGCGGTCTGGCTAGTCGGTCGGCCCGACGTTTGATAGTCAATGAACAAAGTTCCGCTATCAAAGCGACCGGGATTTCGCATATCCGCAGGGGACTCGTGATTTTCTCCTGGTACGCGTCCTGAAGAGAGGCAGACTTCGGCAAGTTTTGCCTCCACGCTGTCCACGAGTGACGAGCCAATCAATCAGCGAAGTCCTGGACCCTCCATCCGCGGTTCGATTAATCTCAACACTTACTACAGAATCTTCGTTGACCTCGGAAATTAGAATTTTGATGAAACCCGGAACGCGTACGCAACTATACACCCCCGATTGGAATCCCGTTCACAATCGAATAACTCCCTTTGCGAGTTCCCGCCGCAATGGGGATTATTGTCAGTTTACGTTAACTCGTTCCGCGGCGTCACGAAAACCATAATTTGCAAATTGATTCGAATATCCCTGTCACCTCTATTACTTGCCATTACTATGTCTTTTTTTTTTTCTGAATGTAGATACTTCAACCAAATTCTAAAGGATTTGAAACGACTTTTTTTATCTTTATAAAAAAATTTTTAAAAAGTTCTGAAAATTAAAATTTTTCTTTCCTGAATTTTCTTGAAGCTCGCGAAATAAAATTTGTATTCTTAAATTTTAGCTTGTGAATCTTTCAATGCGACACGTTCATTTCCAAGTAAAAAAAAATTGCTTGTACATACGTCGCGCAAAGATCGAATTATGCTGTTCCCTTTCAAGAATCTCTCTTTAGTTGAACTTACAACTGAATGAAACGCCCCGAGTCGAAATTTTAGTTCCTACCTCTTTCAACCTCAATTAAATCTTATAATAATTTTGATATTTGTATAATTAAATAGAACCTCTTTTAATGTTACTTAATCTACAGCTTCTATTTAGGAAATTTCTTTTGAATCTAAAAATAAGAAATCTTACAATAATTGTCATTTATAGACTCAATGTAGGAGCTCAATTCTCATTAGATTAAAATCTATAATAAATCTCTAGAGTCTACGTACGTCCTAATTACAAATCTTCAGAGTCTACACACATCCTAAAACTAAGGTTTCGGAGCAGGAGCAAAATTTCATCTTCTCGACAGCTGTCTGTCAGAAATCATCCATTTTCTGAACAGTTTCTGACCAATTTTAATCGAACCCTGCGCATTCGCACACATACAATAGCATACAAACTCGTGCGTACGCACAACGCACACACCTCGGCTCCGTTTCATTCGGAGTTAACGAAGTTTCCCTGGGAACAACGGGCCGTAACGCCGGCATCTATTCGGTCGATCAGTTTTTGCTAAGCTCACACTCGCCTGTGCATCAAGGCCGGATATACACGGTGGCGCGCGGTAACTCATACATTATCCCGGATGGCAGAGGGAACCCCCGGCTTTTTATTGCTCGCGCCATGCCACCGCGCTGGTTTGCTTTCACTTTATCGTCCGTGAAATCCAGCCGTCCGCTCTGCCGGCGAACAATATTTCCAGACTCCAGAATACCTCTGGGAAAGAGTGTATACGTGCAAAATTCAGCGCGACGCCCCGCCCGAGTTGACTCTGTAATCGGACACCGCGAACGTTCCATGGGGGATAAAAAAATATCGCGACACCGACGTTTCTAGCGAAAATTGAGATTTATCCGCACGCTTTCGATAGTAACAGTACGATAACGCCTGATTCTCATTATTAAAAAAATCATCAGGCAATCTCTTAACTTGGAGAAACTATAATTGAGTCGTCCATACAAAGAAAAACGATTCTAAAGGATTTAAGACGATTTTCTTATTTATTAAAGGATTTTTTTTTAAATTGAAAATTAAATTTTCTTTTTTGCTATTCTTCTGAAGCTAGCAAATTGAAATGTTTGTTCTTATATAGGTTGAATCTTTTAATGCGACGCGATCTCTTTTCTTAAAGAGAATTTAATTATATAAAGAGAAACGTAAGATTAAAAATTTAGAAGTAGAGTCTAGAAAATCAAGATTATCTAAATCATTAATATTAATTTGATCTTTTGACTTCTTCTAAAGCTCGTGAATTAATTTTTATTCTTAAATCTTAGTTTAATTCTTCCAATGCAACGCAATTTTTCTTCAGTCCTTGAGAAAGACTTAATTGTGTAAAAACGTAAGACTAGAATTTTCTGAAAATAGCGAATTAAAATTCTTGTTCTTAAATCTCAGTTTGAATCTTTCAATACGATTTCTCTTGAGTTCTTATTATAAAAGTATCAAGCAATTATTATTGATTATTTCTATTTTTTAGATTAATATTATATTTCTTATATAAAAGATAGAATTTAAAAAGTTTTTTAATTTTTCATAAATTATATCCTTTACAATGATAAAATATTTGGTTTTTCATCACTTTCCTTATTTTCATAAGTTTTTATTTGCATGGTTTACCTTAATTTCCTCTGCATTCCTAGAAAACCTAATCCAACACAAATCTATTTCTATCTATTTATATTTATTTTTACGTATATTATAGTAGTAATAATCATAATTATAGTAACATGTAATTATAGTTAAAAATACCAAATTTTTCTCTTACTGTAGGATGTAGGAGGGAAGGTAAAGTCTCTTCCTCGTCCAAACACTTAAATATGCAAACATGTAAATAATATGTAACTATAACATTCATGTTAATTGTAAGTAAAGTTCAATTTGTAACATTAAACACATTTCATATGATTTATTGCATCGTATTATCATTGTTAGTGACTTTTTTATAAACAACGAATGATGAATAAGAGTTTTTGATTATTCAGGGTGATAACATTAATCACAACATAATATACCGCTCATGAAAGTTCGTACATCAGTAAATTTTATTGTATGATCGTAAAAAATTGGATTATTATAAAACAGCAATTATGTTATTCTTTTATATATATATTTTAGGATACTTACTAACGCTAATTGCAAAGGCTTTATAAATTATTTTTAATTTTACATGCCAAAAAATATATCGTCCTTATTTCATAAAACATTAATAGTGTAATCGATAAATTCCAAAAATTCGCTTTTGGCATATAAAATTAAAAACAATTTAGAAATCTTTTGCAATTAGTGTTAATATGTATATAATATCTTAAAATATACTGCATAAAGGAAAATTGCTGTTTTATAATGTCTTAATTTTTTACATCATCATTTGATAGATTTTATGCGAGTGAATTTCTATGGCAGTGTATAACAAGGCCAAGATTACTGAATCTCTCATATTTATCTAAAACTAAATTTATTTAAATTGTATTTGTTTGATATTTATTTAAATTTCTTTGACCGTAAATTCTAATACCTGCTGACGTTTCGCAGGGAACCTGGAAATCAGTCCTCACGCCAACACGGCTCGACGAATCGTCGTTGTGCTCAGCCCCGCTTCCCTGGACAATATCTGGACGGACGCGAGCGTCGGCGCGGTGTTGAAGCAGCTGTCGTCGCTTCCAACCCGGGTGATCGTCGTCACGTTGAAGAGACTGCCAAGTACAACAGCGACAATCGCGAAGCGATCGCGGCGAGATCGTCGCGACGCCGACAATACCTCTTTCGATCGGCTGACGATCCTGTCTTGGCAGGACGGCGGCGGCGGTGGCAGTGGCGGCAATGGTACCGCCTTCGGCAGTGGTGGCCGCAAGTTCTGGTACAAACTGAGGCTCGCGATGCCGGCGATGCGGCCGGTAGCGTCCGAGACCGGCTGCCAATCGGTAGCAATGATAGTGCAGGCCAACGGCAAGTGCGGACAGCAAAAGGCACGTTCGCGCGAGAGTCTGGAAGTCCTCGTCTAAAGGCACCGTCACGAGCTCATCCTCGACCCGAGGTTCCCGTGAGAGCAGTGTCTCGACCGATTTTGTACACCAATTCAATTGCCAATCTTCGAATCCCGAGGCGAGGGTCTCGAGGTCCCGTAATCGCGTCCGCGCGATCCTGACCCCGAGGATCCCGCGAGAGAAAGCTTTCGCTTTTGATTTGATGTCGACCCGGCGGAAGAATTGCGAGGCGATTTCGACTTCGGCGACTGGAACTTCGGCGAAGCCTCAAAAGTCTCAGGATCTCTCTTCCTCGAGAATCTTGCGAGAG